TAATAATATGACTTAAAGAGGACCTTTACCTTTTCAGATTAAAATGCATTTTCAGCTTGATTCTATCTTGAAGCTATACTAGTCCTTTAGTTTCATCTGTGTACTTATTCTGCTTCAGGTAACAGATATTTTTAATATTTAGATTTATAATAAAAAAGTTGATGAAATAACAGTGTACTTACTCTTCAATACTTTTATCATAGACGATCTTGATTCTCAAATGCTCATCAACATCTCTCTTTACAACATGATTTGCCTTAAGATGAACTTTATTTATGACCTAAAAAAAGAGAATGGATTTGAAAAAAAATTTTAAAATATGTATAGATTAGCCAATTGAAATTCAAACTTAAAATTAATAAACTAAATTTCTAGTGTAATACTCAGAGAGAAAGTCTCTTGCTCATGGGTGGGGCCTGTGGCTCAGTAAGCAGGGTGCCAGCCCCAAATACCAAGGGTGGTGGGTTCGAACCTGGCCCTGGCCAAAATGCAACAAAAAATAGCCGGGGCATTGTATGGGTGCCTGTAGTTCCCAGGTACTTGGGAAGCTGAGGCATGAGAATCGCCTAAGCCCAAGAGCTAGAGGTTGCTGAGAGCTGTGACACCATAGTACTGTACAGAGGGTGACAAAGTGAAACGCTGTCTCAAGGGAAAAAAAAAAAGTCCCTTGCTTATATCCCACCATTTCAGCATTCCTGTACTTCAAATATCTCTAAAGCAAATATAATCATCTGGAAGGTAGGTATTATGACCTTGAGTCACATGACTAAATCATTATGGTACAGCAGTTTACAAACGGGTTTTTAGGTTTCTGTTACTTATTTGTAGTTTCTTATATAAATTCTAGTTTTGCTAATTTCCAGTCTTTAGAAAATGACAGGAAGGGACCAAAAGTATTTTTAATTACATTAAAAAATAAACTTCCTTTACAAAACCATATTTCATTTGAATTTTTTCTCCAGGTTTCATTTATATGACTTTTTCAGAGAAGAATAAAAGAGAATTAAAAGCTCTCAGCAGTACCAATTTTTTCTGTAACTCTTTAAAGTACACAAGAAGGCTCGGCGCCTATAGCTCAACTGGCTAAGGCGCCAGCCATGTACACCTAAGGTGGCGGGTTCAAATCCCCAGCCCGGCCCGCCAAACAACAATGATGGCTGCAACCAAAAAATAGTCGGGCATTGTGGCGGGCGCCTGTGGTCCCAGCTACTTGGGAGGTGGAGGCAGGAGACTCGCTAGA